CCAACCTACTCTTTCCTGGACATTCCTTCCAACGTCTCCTCAATCTATGATCATTCTTTTCATATCGGCTCCCAGTTACCGACGTAATACGTTCATTGGTCTACCGCTTCATCTTTGGCTCAGGAGGATTCAAGTATTAACTTCCCTAGTGATGCAGTTGGGTCCTTTCCATTATGTGTTTCAGTTATTACTGTAGATGGATTTTCTACCCTAGCAGTTCACTTTGTTTCCATTAGGTGCAGGTTGGCACTCGACGTCCCGGATCCAATAGCAAAAACACAATAATTCTGGGAGAAATCGGTCTATTTTCATCATAGAATGGAAATACAAACATTTACCCAACAATTGTTACACCTTCCAAGTCCAAATTACCCTGGTGGGTATCCGTTTCCAAAAGAATAAGTGCTTCCAGTCCAAATGGCTACAGTATCAAATCCAAAATGGCTGTAGCCATATTAAATATCAATTTTAAACAACATATGTAAAGTTCAGGAGCAAACATTAAAACTTCAATATAAATACAAAACGTAGAAATAATAACAATATACAATGATAAAATCTCAAAATGGAATCGAATGGAGTACCAAAATGTCAACAGAAAGAGTCAGTCATATCATAACACAAATATATATACATGGAGGGATTTTCCAAAAAACAAAACATTCAAAAAAGATTCTACAATTACAACAAATCAATTTTGAAATTCGAGTTGAAAATCTTGACTCTGATGTTGGTTGGCAGTGTGAGTTCCAGACGGTCTTCACTCGGAACGAGTCTCTGAGCTGGCCTCCATGTACGATTCTGCAGTATGATGTCGACTATCTTCCATGGCATGCCATAGTGTCCTCCATAGCGATATTCAGTCCACGCTGTCGGGTGCTTTCTCGTTATCTGTAAAGCTGATATAGAGTGGTGATTACCATTCAGTTGATTGTTTCATAATGATTTGCAGTGTCGAGTGCGATTCGGTCGGTACACAATCAGTCTTTACGGAATTCAGACTGTCGACCCCGAAGCCTGGTGCCTACTCAATCTTTCTCTAAGTTCAATAAAACTCTGCCAATGGCCTTTCTTGGTGTTGAAGGAATATCGATGCCTCTATTGTTCTCACACCTGCGGAGGTCTTCTTTCTTGGCATTTAGATCTAGTATCATTCTTTCCAGTTTGTTGACACTTGTTATTCCTCCGAAATATTTTTGAGTCGCTAACCCCATGCCCAGCCATCTTTCTTATTCGAGCCTGGGATCGGCAATAACAATGAAAGAGCTCTAGGTGGAGGCCGTGGTGATATTCATTAGATGTGTTTTTAACTGGCCAACAAGAATATCTAGGTCTACCTGAACTGCATATTCAACTTCATCCCCCTCTCCATCCTGTGAAATTTAAAGTAATCAGCAAAAAGTAACATTGGACACTTTATGATAAGGATTCGATTTACATAGGATAAAAAAGTAAAATACCTAAGGCAGGGCCTTGAGGATTTCCAGCACGTATCGGTTCTGCGATGAACGTTTGAAATTGACTCTTACTTTCTACCCACGATCTACCAAGAAATTTTAGATCCGACTTCGAAAAGATCTAGGGACTCGTACATTTTTCTTCATAAGGATGTTGTTGTGTGGCCCCTCAAATAATCATAATAATAACTTATTCATGATTAGTTATTTTCAAATAACAATTTGTTAGATGAGGCATCTCAGTTTACAGACAATATCAAAATGTTAAAATTGCTCACACATTGTAAAAGATTGTTCAGTTAAATACATACTGTAGATGATACATAGGCTTTTACAGAGGGCCAATATTTTTTACATAAAATTGTGAATAATGCTTCAGACTCTGGAATGTACAACGCAATAGACGATGCTAGTTATGTCGATTGCGTTGGAACGAATTACTGTTGGTCGAGAAGCAGTGTGAGTAAAATCAAGGGCTATAAATAATGATGACTGATGAGGTATGTGTGTATTGATTTTCTTCATCAGTTTCGCCAGACAATAATTCAACAGGCTTCTGCGTAAATCAATTTTAATTTTCCGAGAATATCCAGGCTATCATTTAAGGCACAGGATGAGCTTCGTAGAGGTTTGCACTGTGAGGTTAATAACTAGTGTCTGTTTCTGACAGCACATTTACACCATGTCACCGGTAGGAATAGCTTGAAACAGCCACATTTTCAAGAAGTGATTACAAATAGGGTAAGTGCAGTGAAGCCCGTGTATGTACTATCCCTTGATTTTCCATTATGAAACGACATAAATACCCTTTTTAGCTACAAGGAGATTAGGCGTCTAAGAATGTCCTCTCCTGAAAATATCTTGTCCAATTATATAACCAGCTGTTCATTTCTATAGAGGTCATTAGGGATTTACGGATATTTTTATCTGTATTTAACTATGACAGTATTTAGGGCGATAGTTCTGGCTACACCGTTTGCCATGGACTGTTTGTACATGTACCTAAGTCATATGTCGACGTACGGCCGAGGTATGTCGACTGAATGGCCTCGATAAGAAAACTCAGTAAGTGACTTGCAAAATACGAACAACCTACAAACATTGGCAACTTGCAACCTTTAATACTTGCAGTCTGAGCTAGAGAAGATATATGATCACTCCGAAAAATATGCAGTCCGTTCATGTTTATACGGCCTGTCACTGAGATATTAATCAGTATTGTTTGATATTCGCAGTAATTTCAATGAGACCATTGTAAGCTCAAGTAACAGTATTTCAGTAATTAGATTAAATGACATGTGCAGGGACAACAAACAGAAAGCAGTTGTAATAGGAGCGAATTGACACGAATGAAGTGTAGTACTTATAGTATTAGACTGATGCTGGAAATAATTTTTTCCCATTTCTAACGGATTTACGATAACACACATTTTAAAAGCTAATAATTTTATCTACAGGAAATGAGCTTGGGAAAGGACCATCTGGACTCATATGAGAGTTATAACACCCGGCAATTATGTAGTGAGACAAATCCAGGAGTGCACTAGGCCGACCTAATCTGCGTTGTGTTGAAATATGCTTAAACTGCATAAAATGTCGATAAGCGACGTCGCTATAGAATCTTCAGGTTATCAGATCAATGAAACAATATTAAATGACGAAGACTTATAAGAGCTAATTACGAAAACTTACCATTAGAATAGAGATACCGAATTATCTCTGGTATGACTACAATCAATTTATTCAACATTGTGTGTTTTGTGTAACGTAGCTTTCTCAGAATAACAGCGCATCCCAATATATGGGTTTCAAATCTCCAGACATTGAACTACCCACAAGGATGGAATCTCCCTTAAATTAATTTTTATATTTAAAAATATAGAACCATAAAGGGTTGTTATTCTAACCCACAAGATCTTTGAATCAACTTGTTTCAAGCATGAGATCCAT